TCCGGGAGCTTTATCGGTCTATGCCACGCCGTGTGGCAGCTTGTATCCAGGCTAGAGGCGGGTCAACACCTTATTGAACTTGTTACTGTAACTCTGCAATAAATTATTCAATTGTTCTGAAACTGTTTTCATTTACTATTCTGTACATTGTCTTCCCATCCACCAATTTTCGTTCAATCGGACAACTCTTTCTTGGTGCGTCGATTTTTTTGTTATAGAGTGTATATACACATAGCTGCCAACATGGATAGGAAAAAATCCAGTAGATAATTGTTGAATGATGTACTAAATATTTTACACATAGGGAATTTTAGGGAGTCATAAAAATAGAAAAACTGCAATATTTTCCAGTTATGATTGACATTCAACACACGTGAAATGTTATGTATTATGTTTACTCATTTCGAATATTGATAGGCATTTAATTCATCAAAGATAGTTACGATTTGTTTTAATTAATTTAAAAAGAGAGTTCTGAATAAAAAATAAACTGAACATTTTAGAACAAAGAAGGTTTTGAAATGATTTTTAATAAGTGAGGTTCACTTTATGTATTAGTAATACTTATTTAATTATTCAAGCAATAATCTGTGCAAAAATTCTATTTCAATAGGGATTTTCTTAGGAAACTTACTCAATTTTAGGGAATTTTCTAAAATGTACAAAAACCAGGAGAATTTTAGTAAACCAGTAGAAACTGGCAAAATTCAGTAGAGTTGGCAGTTATGCATATACAGCTATGCATATACATGTTTATATATTTTTTACGCCGTGGGAAATATTATAAAAAATATTGTTCTATTCAAAGGAAAAAGAACTTTATATAAAATTTAAGCAAAGTTCTATTCTTAATTCTTAACATTTTATTACATGCATAAAACACACTGCTTAAGGGGAAAAAAAACGAAAAAATGTCATTACATCCCTTTCAAACTCAACTATGCAGCAAACAAAAAATAATTTATCATGGCCGTTTAACCATTTAAAAATGAATTAATTTTTTTTTTAAAATTTATGCAATTTTACTTTAATGTTCTTGTGGAGTGAGTAGTTAACAACCATGCCAACCTTCATCTATGAAAAGGTACCCCAGCCTAAAATCGAGTTAACATGTCTAATATATACTAGTGAATTGGGAATCTATTTTTGTAGTAGTAGATACACTACATACTGGACATATTGCATGGTTTTGAGCTACCATCAATTTTCTGATAAATTCCAAACTTAAACCATTTTTTTCTACGAATATGAAATTTTTGGCAGATATTGCAACAAATTGAATCATAGGTTTTAAAATGCCCACATTATAATGTACGTTGATTTCGAATTACGCATTTGAGGAGTCACTTTTTTACATGGTTTGTCAACGGCTATTTTTGCAGTTATTCCTGTTGTTGTTATTGTCGTTTGACAAGTGCAGAAAAGTATAAGTCAAATGGGACCGAAGGCATGGAGCACAGCCCTGGCCACATCTCCTACTTTTTCGGAATAAAGGGTGTCATAGCAACAGTTGAGGTCGATGTTGAAGAGGGTATTCCTAATTAGCTTGATTAATATTGAATTAATTTTGATTTTTAAGTACTACTTTGTCTTGTGGGGGGAATTTTGAATCTAGCATTTGAAGAATCATTTTTTGATGCACTCAATTTGGGCCACTTATGTTGTCTACTTGGTTTTGTCGATCACATTTTGCTTTAAACAGCTATTATTACAGATTTCCACTGATAGGAATACCGTTGCAGTTCGAAAATTTCAAATTTGGATAATCACTTTATAACAAACTTTTGTTCTGACAATCCCATATTAAACATTTAAAAATCCATGATTTTTCACACCGTGACTCGTAATCACCAAACTCTGGATCTTGTTACCGTGATTTCCAAGTTTTTGTTAATACGAGGGTTATTTCCGATCAAGGTCCGATTGGTCGCTAAAAGAAAATCACAGCCAGAATCAAGAAAATTTTATATGGAACAATGTTACAACATTAAGCTAATTTTCGACATAATCGTCGTTTCGATTCATACATTTGTCGTAGCGTGGTATCAAGTTTTAAATACATTCATCATAGAAAGCAGCCGTCTGTGTTTTCAGCCAATTCTGTGCGCTGGTTTGCAGTTCATTGTCTGAGGCAAAAGTTTGTCCTCCTAGCCAGCGTTTCATGTGAGCAAAGATATGAAAATCTGGGTGAGCCAAGTCAGGACTGTATGGTGGGTGATCAAAAACTTCCCATCCAAAACTTTGAAGGAGGATCGTTGTTGCAACTGCAGTGTGCAGCAGCGCATTATCATGAAGAAGGACACGGCAATATTCCTCTTCTCTTGTTCTGAATTGCCCTTCAAAGACGTTGAATAGTCTTGCTGTACGAAGCTGTAGTGAGCCGTTGCTCCACGTGGCATAAATTCCACCAAGAGAACACCTTTACTGTCCCAATACACTGTAACACTGTAGCCATACACTTTTTGGTGGAGAACGTGTGCTTGAACTTCACTGGTTTGCGACTGGGGGAGTAAGAATGCATCCACTGTTTGGATTTCTCTTTCATTTCTTCAGTTTCATAATGGACCCATGTCTCATCTCTTGTGACAATTTTGTCCAAAAACTCATCTCCGTCGTGATGATAGAGCTGGAGGAAGGTTAATGCGGCGCCCATTCGTTGAGTTTTGTGATGGTCAGACAGCATCTTGGGAACCCATCTCGCGCAGAGTTTGCGGTACTCGAGTCTTTCACTCACAATGATATAGAGAGCTGACCGAAAAGTTTCCGGAAGCAATTCACTCAACCCAGAAATTGAGAATCGATGATCTCCGCGAATCGCCTGATCCACGCGCTAAACAAGATTATCGGTTGACACTGATTTCCTTTCCTGGCTTCCTGCATCATGAACGTCTGTGCGTCCAGCATCAAAGTTCCTGTTCCATTCCCGCACTTTGCTATCACTCATGAACTCTTTACCGTTCACGTTACTCATTCGTATATGACTTTCGGCTGCATTGCTTCCTTCAGCATGTAGAAATTGAATGACTGAACGCAATTTACATTTGGCGGGAGACTCTATTTTTTGAAGCATGTTTATGTGCTCCATACGTACTAAAAATTGACAACCGCTAATCCGCACTTTCCCCTGTGAAACTATGGACACAGCGCAAGACGTCTGCGCACTGATCTAGCGGATTTTCCCTTAAGTTTTCTTTAGCGACCAATCGGACCTTGAAAAAAATAACCCTCATATAACAATGGAAAATGAATAAATATTGAAAGTCTGGTAAAAATCACTAACAGGTAGAATTTAGCAGAAAAGCGAAGGATTCTCTTCCTGTATTAGTTATAAAAAACTTAGCTTTACCATAATCTAAAGAGTTTTTAAGGGATATTTAGTAACTCGATATTTTGCAATTTTTGTAGTTTCAAGTACTTCTTAAGGAGTTTCAAAGGTATATAAAAACTGTGTGCACCTTGCCTAAGGGAAATAGCTTGGTAAGTACTGAAAAGATGCATTTCAAAAAATAGCTAAAGGTAATTCTGTGCAGAAATTATTAAGATGCTTGACAATACTGTAAAAAATAGTTCATAAGCAAAGCATTAAAGTTTTAGCTTTAAAAACTTTTGATGCTCAACTTGATTATCAATAAAACAATATTTTTTTTTAACCAAACCAGCTTAATAAACTCACTTTTCAAATTGAAAATTAATAAAAAAAATTCTGAACCTACCCTTTTTTGTAATGGTCGAAGGTGATAATATTTTGTTTGACTAAGTTAAAAAGTAGTTGGCCAAGGGAATGGCGCGCTTGACTAGAGCGCTCTAGGACTTGGTTGATTGCAGCATTAATGAACAAATGGATTGTACTAGGAGAAGCAAGCTCCGTGATACACCTGATTGCTTCCTAAAAAAGTAAAAATAAAATTATTGACTTATAAATATATATTCTCAGAGATTAGAGGTTAGTAAGAGGGAAGGATCCGAATTCAAAATAAATTATATGCAAAGAGATAACTAATTTTTCGCCAAACACAAAAATTTAAAAAAAATGATGAATGTTTTTTTTTACTGTATTGAGTAAAAGACATTTAACATCACTTTTCCATTTAATTTAATTATGAGAAAACTACCAATCAAAACTTGGAAAAATCCTTAATATTTAAATTGTTAGCGAAAATTCTTCCCTAATACATTCTTTCAGTTTTATAATGAAAAATTATAACTATAATCTAATATATATAATTCTCTTATGTGGCTCCCAAATTTTGGCTGTATTTCTTTTCCGCCGGTAGCAACGTTTGCTTTGTTTTGTTTACGTTTTGAAAACAAAGCATTCTGCCTTTTAATGATGTGTTTCTGATTAAGAATTAAGGATGGATTTAAGAAGAGCTGTGAAGTATTATTGCAATAACAATCGTTGAAGAATTTTTAGAGAAAATGAAACTCCCGAGGAAGCCAGCTATCACCGTGCCAATCACGTAGAGGCGGACAGGTTGCGACGTGCAGCACGTGATCGTGGTATCGGCATTTGCGATATAGCGTTACTAAACGGAGCATGATTGTGGGTCGATGACTGAAACTTGCAATATTGCTCTGCACGGTATTGGAAGAATGAGGAAAACTCTAGCAAACGTTATATGAAATGTTGCCATGGTGGTAAAGTACAGTTGCCAGATCTTGGAACTCCAAGATCTTCCGACCGGCAATTCATCGGACTCAAAAAATTATCGATCTCACATAAGGGAATACAATGCTGCTCTTGCTTTTGCTTCTATGGGAGCACAAATAAAGGCCACTCCAGGAACTGGGCCATACTGTTTTCGAATCCATGGCCAGATCTACCGTATGGTGTCGCCACTTTATGCTGACAGGGAAAACAATTCTGGATACGGACAGTTATATATATATGACTTGAGCGAGGCTACAGAGAGAAGAATGGGAAGAAACGAAAAGTGTTTAGAAATTTTTATGGAAAAGTTGGATGATATATTGCGTCAAGTAAGTCCCTTTGCAGATTCTTTCACCAAGATACATCAAATTGTTCAAAGTAATCTAATAGTTCCCGTAAAGATGGTTTTTATGGAGGATGGCAATCTGGATTTGCGGAGATATAACAAACCTACAACCACAACTGAGGTTGCTGCTATTTTTGTTGGGGATGATGGGGAACCCCCTGCAAACCGAGACATAATTATCTATCCAACATGTCAATTGTGAGAAAGTTTGGTAGACCTGACCTATTTCTCACATTTACGTGCAACCCCAAGTGGTCAGAAATAAGTGATGCTGTAGGGAAAGGTCAGAAGATAGACCAGATGTTGTTGTCCGTGTGTTTAAAATGAAGTTATCTGAACTTTTAGAAGACATTTTAAAGCGAAACCTGTTTGGTGTTGTTGTAGCTTATATATTTGTGATAGAGTTCCAGAAACGGGGCTTACCACATGCTCATATATTGTTGACATTAGATGATAGATCGAAAATCCGCACAAAAGATGACATTGGCAAATTTGTTTGAGCTGAATTGCCAAATCCTAATACTGAACAACGCCTGTATGATATCATAACAAATTGCATGATCCATGGGCGGTGTACCCCTTTGAATCCTAATTCCCCGTGCATGAGAGATGGGGAGTGTTCAAAAAAATTTCCTAAGGAATTCAATGAATGTACTGAAGAAAATGTTAACGGATACCCTGTATATCAGCGTAGACAAGAAGAGCCTGTCAAAGTGAGAAAATATGAAATAGACATCAGATGGATTGTCCCATACAATCCCTGGCTTTCTAAGAAATTCAGTGCACACATTAATGTAGAAGTATGTGCTTCTGTCAAAAGCGTTAAGTACTTCTACAAATATGTCTACAAAGGTCATGACGCTGCTTCTATCAGGTTTACAACTGAAAGCGGAAGACTTGACCATGATGAAATAACAACATTTTTAGATGGTAGATATGTAAGTGCCCCTGAAGCAATTTGGCATTTAAGTGAATTTAATATGTCTGACAGATCTCATACAGTCATGCGTCTGGCAGTTCACTCACCACTCCAGCAGCAAATAGTGTTCATGGGTGGGCAAGAAGCTCAAGCAGCTGAACAAGCTGATATCAAGTGTACAACCTTGACAACTTTTTTTGAATTAAATAAAACGGATAATGAAGCTCACAGCTACACTTACTCTGACATTCCCCATCACTACGTTTTTGACAAAAGTGGAACAAAATGGAAGAGGCGCCAGCGAGGATCACAGCAGGTGATTGGAAGGATGCATGTAGTTAGTGCTCAGGACAGTGAAAGATTCTATTTAAGAATGTTGTTACTCAGATGCAAAGGAATCGTTGGTTTTGAAGATATCCTTACTGCGGACGGAATGCTGTGTACTTCTTTTCAAGTAGCATGTAGGAGGACAGGACTTCTGCAAGGAGATGAACATTGGAACCAAACATTAAGCGAGGCTGCAGAAGCACAATCTCCTAATAAGTTGCGGATGCTGTTTGCCATAATATGTGCGTTCGGGGAAGTTGAAGATATTCCTCAACTTTGGGAAACACACAAGGATGCTCCTTCTGAAGATTTTCTTCATATATATGCTGAGAGTACTGGCATACAGCACGCTTTATCAGAGATTAATAAATTGCTGCAATCATACAATTTAAATTTGGACAGGGTGAAACTTCCTGCAGTTTTATTATCACTGTTTGGCCCATCATCCTATGATGCTTTACAAAAACAGGAAAATGCAGAAATATGTAAAAAAAAACTTAACACCGAGCAGAGAGAAGTTTTTGAGACAGTCTTATCAGCTGTTTACAGTAATGATGAAGATTCCTCTAAGTGTTTTTTTCTAGATGGACCTGCAGGAACTGGCAAAACGTTTCTTTACAATACTCTTTTGTATACTATTCGAGGGAAAGGGGACATAGCAACACTCGTTGCTTCAATAGGCATTGCTGCAACTCTTTTGAGTGGTGGCAGAACCGCACATTCCGTCTTTAAAATTCCTATCATTTTAAATGCTACTTCCACTTCCAACATAAAACCTAAGAGTAAAGAGGCAGAAAGGTTGCTTAAAACCAAATTGATCATCTGGGATGAAGCCCCAATGACTCATGCTCATGCCTTTGTTGCTGTCAGCAGATTACTATGTGATATCACACAATGTGAAAAACCAATTGGAGGAAAAGCCATTTTGCTTGGTGGGGATTTTCGTCAAGTCCTACCTGTTACTTTACGGGGGTCGAGATCCTTGACTGTGGCAAGCTGCCTTAAAAAGCATCATCTTTGGTCGAATTTCATACAACTGACTCTCACACAAAATATGCGAGCTCTGGATACAGAAAAAGATTTTTCAAAGTGGCTTTTGGACGTTGGAGATGGCAAGGATGGGGATATTTTAAATCTCCCTGAAATCTGTTATCCTGAGTTTCAAGATCCCATTGCACTATTGTATGGAGATATCGATTTTAGAAATGTTACACCTCAACACTTAAAAGACAGAGCTATTTTAACAGCTACAAACGACATATCTCTGATCCTAAAGGGGGTTGGCGAGCGATAGCCCCCTAGTATTTGTAAATTATAATTGAAAGTTAGCTCTAACATACCTCAAAATCATTATTATCTAAAAACTCATCAACTAGGAGCCTAGCTTTAATTTCCATCCGATCAATATTATATTCTGGACCTTTCAACTTATGTTCTGGAAAAATAAAAGGCTGGAGGTTAATAAACAATACTTTATCATCAACAGCTTTTGAAAAAGTTTATACATAAAAAAAATCACAAATAAGCTTAAAACAAAATAAAAATCGGAAATATTTGGATAAAACGTGAAAAATCAGAACTAATAACATATTTTAAATCGGGAAGTTATGTAAAAAAGGATTTAGGATTAAAAATAATTGATAGTTGATTTAATTAATACGTTTGATAAAAATGGAGAAAGTGTAAAAAAAAAAGTAGACCCTTACGGAAAAAATTGAGGTATAAATGAGGTATTTTTCAAAGGTATAAAGGAGGTTGTCACACGTCGTTAGGTTGAAAAGGGTGCAAATGAATACCTCAAAATCATCTCAAATATACCTTAAATATAACCCCTGAGGTATATATGCATCAACTTGAGGTGTTTAATTTCGCATCTGTAACGAGGAAGAACACTTCAGGTTATTATAAATCAAACTCAGGTGTATTTTTCGACCGTTAGATAGCTTGACTTTGATGAACGTGAGGTGTTCGATATTCTACTTTAGGTTGTTGTTTTTCAACCTCAGGTATAGATTTATATAGTTGTTGAGGTATTTATTTATCTACAACCTAAGGTGTGCCATTTTACACTTCTGGTTATTATAAATCAACCTCAATTGTAATTTATGACACTTGGAGAGGTTATTTATTTCTTATTTACGTCCTGTGTTACATGTTCTAGCTTAGGCAATTATTTCGTAAAATGAAGTATATATGTTTGCATTTTTGGAAGTATTAATTCATCAACCTAAGATGCGACATTTTACACTTCAGGCTCATATAGCTCAACCTTAAGCAGATTTTTTTCAATAATTACGAAGGTAATAATTCCCAAACGCGAGGTGTAATACGGTCCACATGGTTAATAAGTTTTTAACCTCACTATACAAAGAATATAATATATATGGTTGGTTGGTTTCGTATGCTTGTTTAGGCAGCAGGGTGCGATTGTTCTTGTTTTCCAGTGGCGCCATCGATGGCCAAGAATTGGACTTCTGCCACACCCATTCGTCGCACCCGTTTATAGGGCGGACCCATTCATACATCCATTCATTCATCCACAGATCGTCATTTTGACCTGAATCCGAGAAGGATAGATCTCCAATCCAGCACCCCCAGAGGCATTGATTTGTTATGGGAACATGGAGGACTGATTTAACGTGCATCAGTCGCCATTTTACTACACGGGGAGTCTTCGGCCGGCAGGGTTTGAACCCACGAACTCTTGGACACGGACCCAGCGCCCTACCGACCAGTCTATATAATATATATAAAGATATTATATTTACCATATGAAGAATAATGCTTATCATTACATATTTTCACTAGTAGAGATCTTCATTTATCAACCTGAAATTTTTAATATTAAATTTTCAGGAGTAATTGCTTCTTTGTTAAGTTATAAAAGAAAGTTTCGAACTCATAATTCTTTTGTAATTTTAATAGATTGAATTAAATCATCTTGAAATGAAACTTATCCGAATTCTGCAGTTAGAAAAAGTTATTTGTGGGAACTCATATTTTTAGAAGATAGTTGTCTAAGGTGCTTGAGTTTTTAAAGCTACAAAACTACAAATTTAAATAATTAGTCAACTGAAACTCAAACTACTTTCATTTAAAAATAAAATTTCATTCTTTTACAAATCAACAAAATTATTTTAAATACTGTTTCCATCTACCTGTTGAAACTAGGAAGTATTGGAACCTAAAAGAAAAAAAATATGAATTAGTAAGAAAGTCATATTTACAATAATAGTGGCAGGTTTTAAAATATTAGAAATTGTTTTTCTCATGATTGAAATTAACTGGATGAAATTAATTTTCTTTTTTCAGATAAATGGCATTCCACTTCTATCATTTCTATTCAATCCTCGTAGCTAACAAGCATGACAGGTACCACAGCCACAAAATACACTGAAGAAAGTACTACCATTAACAACATTTACAAAAATTCAAATATATAATTCCAATCTCATTATGAAATTTTAACACTTTTAATTTTCCTATACATCTGGTATCATTATGATACTTGTAAGTTTGATAGTTAAATTTTTTTTCATACAAATCTTTAAACTCAATAAACCTAGTCTATATTTTTAAACGTTCTCTCAGACTTCACGAAACTAATAGCTTTTTTATAAATTTATAAATTTTTGACGTTGATTCCGAAAAGGACTTCCGCCTTTGTCAATCTTAAAAAATAGTTATTTTAATATTTATTTAATCAATGTAATCAAGAATCAACAATAGTTTAATAAATTAAAATTTTAACGATATGTGCCAATTTTCATGCATTTTTTACACTCAATCGAATAAAACTAATTACAGGCTGATAAGGAGCATTTGTTTTAAAGTTGTGAGCAATTTTATGTGAGTAAAATGTCTAAGGGAGAACGATTTGAAATAAAACTTTTAAAAAAAGTTGAGTAAAATATGTCCCATATAACTTATAAACTCATGTTTGTGAAAATTGAAACTCCATGAAGGACTTACGCGAGTGAACTGAAATTTTTAGGAAATGCAAAGTAGAGCATGATATGCAAATGATTAGAATTTCAGACCCGTAGCGCATGCGTATGCTGAGCAGCGCTCTTTGAACGGCGGATGGATCCGAATAAAAAGACGGCTGTAGCCAAGCGAGTATGGTTATCAGTGGTTATCTGCTAGTGGTAAACGTTAGCTTAGTCATTACTAGACAACGGATTATATGCACTAAAAAACGGACAAAATATGCATGCAAATATGCACTAAAAAACTTGAATATATGCTCTTAAAACTAGAAATATGCATTTAAAATAGAAATTATAAGTTCAACTTATTTAAATACTACTACTTACTTTTTCCAACAAACACAGATAAAGCATTTTTTTGTTAAAAGGAAGAAAATCAAAATATTTCTTACTTGAATCTACACATTTCTGAAGAAAAAGCCTAAAACTGAAGTATGATAAATGAGAGAAGAAAAATCATCGCATTTTCCGGAAAGATTTTATTAAACTGAATAATTTTTGCTGCAATACACAACTAAGTGTTTTTCCAAATGTTCAAGGGTGAATTGATGTCGTCGGTCATCAAAGATCATTTTGAAAGCAGAAAATGACCTCTCCACGTCAACCGATGTTATTGGACAAAACTTGTACAATTTCGTACTCATTGGTTTTACTTTCTCTGGAAGTTCAGTTCCGTTTCCATTAAGAAAATCATTTATCTTCTTCACTGCTGAAAAACCCGAATTTTTGTTTTGAACGAAACACCATTTTTCTTTTACTTTCTTCCCAACTGAGTCTGGAAGAGCATTGATGCACTGTTGAATTTTTTCAATTTCGGATATGGCTTCAGCCAGGAGAGGACCTCGTGTTTCGAGCTTTGTTATTGCTCCACTTAAGAAAGAAAAGTGAGTGTCAATTATGGCCAAGTCCTTCTGCAAAGAGATATCCTGTAGTAATTCTTTTGTGACATAAACTGAAGAAGCACAGGAACTGTCAATTGCATCTAGAACTGACTTTATTGCATCAAAATTATTAGCGTAAAAACGTGCAGCTTCAATCCATGTAACCCACCTAGTTATCACAGGCTGTGGAGGTAGGGGCAAATCGGGATACATTTCTTTATACAATTTTACGCGCACAGGTGCCAAGAGAAAAACTGTCTTGATACTAGAAATTAAATCATTCACAGAGGAGAATACTTCTCGAACAGTCTCAGCCAGTCTGTGAACAGCATGAGTCAAACATGTAATATGAAGCATTCTGGGATAAAAAATTTCCAGTGCTGCTGCAGATTTGACCATATACGGAGCGGCATCACTGACAAAAATCAAAACAACTTCAGAACCATCTCTATCAGGCCATAATAATCTGATAGAATCATTGACAAACCTTGCTATGGTTGAATGATTGAGTTTTTCAAGGGCTTTGCTTGCTGGAAGATGTGGTCGAGCAGGAATATTATCCATTTTTCTACAAATAAAATGAGCAATATAGCGACCGCACTCGCACTTATCTGTCGTCTCATCGATTTCAATCCATATAGGGCCATCTCCAATATCTCGTCGAATATCATCCAGTACTTCGTTATATATCGGTTGAAGGTAGTTCTTTCTTAAAGTCGATTCATCGGGAATGATCTGATTGGTACAATATTTTTTTAAAAACTGTCTTAAGTTTGGATTATTTAACTTTTTTTAAAGGAAAATTGCTGCTTACTAAGGTTCCCAGGTAGCAAAAAGATATGATCTAATATCAGAAAGATGCAATATACTATTGCCGCGCTAGAAAACGCAATACTCTTGAATCCTATCTTCTAATAGTAGCATTCGAACTTTCAAAATAATCATCTATTTCATTACTTTTGGTACAGTGCCACATTTTTGCGAAAGGTTATCCCATATTATTAATAAAAAAACAATTATTTATGAAAGAAAACAATAAATGAAATATTAATAAAAATATCATTTTTAGCCAATATAATTTTATGCAAAAAAAACACAAGGTAATATTAGCAAGGCAGAAGTAGGCTGAGTTAAGGTTGTCTACAGTCGCTGCCAATAAGCGAAAGCAGAGAGCACGCCGCACTTTACTACAGGGCTTTTGCTATACTCAATCGCCGCCATTATCATAAAGGGTCAGCGAGAATGAAATTTTTAACTTCAAAGGTATTTATGATTCATTAATTTTTAGTAAACTTCATAAATTTCAATGATAGATACATAAAACCTTAAAGTAGTATCGTAGGTAATATTTTTCCTGTCGAAACATTCATGGATTCGTTTAATGATCTAATAAATTTATCAGTGAATATTATGATTGTGCTCATTTTTAACAATGCTCGGTCGTAGTAGTTGACTACTCTGTTAAAACGTATAGTCTGACTATAAATAATAAGTACTGTAGTTAGTTTAGGCTTGTAAAAACAATGTTTACTTGGTAATTCGCATCTGACAGAATTTCACTATAA